TCCTCTTCTTTTCCATCCCTTCTTTCCTTCCGTATCCTTGCTCTTTTTTATTCTCCTTCCTTATTTTGATTCTCGGTCAACTTCTTTTAGTTTTCCCTTCCTTTTTCCCTTCCCTTATTCAACTCCCTCCTCTTCCCTCTGCTTGTTTTGTTTGACTCTTTTCTCAGTTTTCTGTCTTCCTTTTTGCTACCTCCATTCCTTCCTTTCCTTGTGGAAATTCTTCCTACCCTCCTCTCTGCCTTATCCAATTCTTTCTTTCCGTTACTCCATCACTTCACCTCTATTTATTCCCTCATGCTTCTCCATTAACTCAATCTTTCCTTCACATATCCTCCTCTTTTCTTCTTCCTTTTCTTCTACCCCATTGTTCATTTGTACCCTCCTGTCTTCCTCTCCTATCACCCTATTTTCTTTTCCTATCTCCTTCCTTCTCTGTCTCGTCCTTTTCTTCCCTTGTTTCGCTCAAACTTCCTGTTAGGAAGGGAGAACAGTAATCTGACGGAGAGGTTGAATCGATTGATTTAACTGATAAAGCACGACTTCTCCCGGCAGCCGTGTTTTAAAGAGCTCATGACCTCAACATTAGGCTCAGCACAAACTTTTTATCCTGTCAGGGTGGAGAAAAACCTGCAGCGCGTTTTCCATTCAAACACCGCTGAACTGCAAAATGTGTCTCAGGGATGGGAAAAGACCTGCCCCGATGTAATGGGGAGTTAAAAAAAAACACAAATCAGAGAGGAAACGGCGTGTTTTCCCGGCTGTAATTGGCGTTGGCTAATGTTGTCCACATGTCAGACAGGTGGACGAGGAGAGAAAATATTTTCACGCGGTTAAAGTAACCTCTCCTCGGGATCTGAACTCATTTATGATTGATGCGATGAAGCGGCGAGGTTGGGATGGGGATGCTTAGAGGCTTCAGGCCCTGCTTTCACTCTTGGTTTATTCCAGTCTTTCAGTATCTAATTGGTAAAATCGGTAAAATGGACCGTGTACTTGTAAGAAAAAATGCTTCTAGTCTTCCGACCACTCAAAGCCGCTTTTGCACATCACCTTTCACACACATTCACTCAGGTGGGATTGGCAAAGTCCATCGAACAGAAACTAACTCATTCATAACATTCACACACCGATGCTATGCAATTTGGGGTTCAGTATCTTGCTCAAGGATACTTCGACACGTGGCAGGAGGAGCCGGGGATCGAACCAACAACCTTCTGATTGGGGGACGACCCGCTCTGCCTCTGAGCCACAGCCGCCCCCAGTAGTGCTCAAGCTGCCGTTGCCAAGTGCTTGCTCATGGTGGAAACTGGGTTTTATAATTAACCTTATTAAGACCTGCTCTATTTAAAAAGTGTCCTGAGATAACTTTTGTTATGAATTGACACTAAGTTAAACTGAATTGAACTGAATTTACCACAGTAATATTGCAACTTGGGGAAACAAATACCAAATCTTACATAATGTTGTTTTAAGTTAGCGAATATTTGCTAAATGCTAGCTGGCTATTAGTATTAGCTATTAGTTAACATTTTGATAACACTATCAAAGTAGATTAGTTAGCAAATTTGCCAATAATAGCATAAAACACTGTATGGGTTTTTAGCTGTAGGAGCCCAAATCCTTTGGCCAGGCAAGCAAACAATTGCGTTATGGAGGTGCTGATCAACAAAAGAAATAGGGGTACTTTCAGTCTGCCTGGACGGACCTGACATATATATAACTACCTTACTGAATCTCATATTTCTAACATCTGTCACTGTTTTGGTCGTCTGTCCAATGTGATGTTTCTGTAAACTAATTACGTTGCTGTGGCAAAGCCGAACCACTGTCTTTATTTTGAGAAAAATACCCTCTGCTTCACACTGTCAAACCAAACTCCATTTTAAAAGTGATTGTCTCTGTAGATAGCCTAAAACCACAGATATTTTCTTTCACTGTCCTTCACTCTTTGTGAAAGTAAATACAATCTTAAACTGGGTTTTTATTGTCCAAAATGGGATGGAGCAGCTTTTATGCATGGTGCCACTAGAGACTTATACAGGGGCATGATCATTCTAAAGACAGGAAAAGTGTTGTTTGCCTGTTCTCATGAATGGAATATAATATTCAGGCTTAGTATGTTTGCAATAGTGTATAATCACCTGAATATAGGAATAGTTTTGTTTTTGTTACCTTAGAATGAGACGTTTACATCTACAGACACTTCCATGGAAGTCGCCATGCTGAACTGCCATGCTTGTACAGTAGCCTAGAAAGGACAAACCAAATACAGGCTCTAGATAGGGTCATTTGCATTTGTCTCAGATTTCAGGGCCACTGTAGCTTATCCTTCACCCTTGGAAAGGGAGCGTGAAGAGAGGGAGAGGCAATCAGCAGCTACACTGCTAGATGCCACTAAAGCCTACACACTGTACCTTTAATTACAAAAATTGTAAAAGTTTTTCTTTTTAATGATAAAAATCCATGAGCAAAATTTAAAAAAAATTTCCAACTGAATTAGTTCACCTGTCTGATGTATGATAAGGTGAGGAGAGGAAAATTATGGTAAAAACAAATTATACATCAATCAATCAAGTTATTCAAAATCACACGTAATCATACGACATACAATCACAGTGAACTTATATCCCACCAAAACAAAAAAAAAGTATGATTCAGATGTGTAATCTGTAATTCAGATGTGGGCTGGCTGACATCAAACTTTGTGAACTCTGAAGTAAATGATGGTCCGGAAGCTAAAAATAAATAAAACTCTTGTTGTTGAGCCTACTGATGAGAGCAGGGAACATGAATATCAGTTTAATACCCAAGTATCCGCCACTTCCGTCATTCAGGTAGCTTATGTAGTTCCTTCTGAGCCTCCAAAAGGACAACAATTCTAAAATTATCAGTTTGTTGATTTGTTCCTCACTCATTCCATAGTACATACATACAATGTACATTACAGTAAAAGTCGTGAAATAATTGCCTAAAAAGAACTACATTGATGCTTTGTAAATACCTATAATTTTTTTGTAAAGAGTTAAGCAGTTCTCTAGTAATACAGTTTGATTATCCATTTGTTATGGCTCCAAACATAAACCACTGAAGAGCTCTCAAAACTGACCCGTAAAGTACAGATTAGTCTAAACTTCATTTGACTGGTGTTTTGGCCATTGTTGTTGAAAAAGCTGAGATACAGTATGTGAACACAAACACCACTTCCTTCTGTTTCCTGTGAGAACTGACCTCTGACCCCTACATCTTGCTCCCAGCATCGAGTCAGACACATGATATCCCCTGGGAGCCCGGCGGCATGTGCTCTACAAGGTCCCTGCTTTCCTTTGCTTGATTCTCTGTATATTTTTTAACTCTTAAAGTCTAAAAATACAGCTGAGTGCGGATGTTGCTGCTGCGTTACATAAGCTTGTGGGACTGAAGTGTCAGGAATAAGAGGTTGTACAGAAAGTTTCTGGATCTCAGTTCTCATAAAGTAAACAATCATGGAAGAAAGGACAGTTTCCTGGAACAGCTTCACAGAGGAAAATCTTGACAGAATAAGCTGCAAGCTTCATGTTTTGGTCACTTTTTAATATACTTGAGGAAAAATGTCACAGGTTTCCTGGGCTCCACTGTAAAATCTGACAATAATGAAGTGAATTAGTCAAACTGTAGTTTAGTCTATACTCCACATTTTTATGTATTATAGCAGTGTTATCATTCCCACAGTAAAAAAGAATGTGCTTTCATCCCCAGAAATGTATTCTGGACAATGTCACTGTCAACTTTTCTTTTATTTCCTGCAACTGTAGAGTTAAGGACAAAGTATTATTAGCATTTCTATTTCTTGCTATCTGATCTAATGAATATAGATAACATATATTTATTCTGATCAAAGGACACAGAAGTTAATGTAATTATTTCTGATTCATTTTGGGTTGAGGAATAGCCATGCAGTGCTTGTAATTTTAATTTTATCCTACTGACCTCATTTAACTGTGCGTAGGATCCATACTAAATGTTTGTGTGTGGAAAAAAGTCAAAACTGGTTTATGTCAAAAGTTATGGATATTTGATGCGATCTCTGACTTCAGTAATGTGGCTGAAGTGAAAAAGAATCCGGATATTCAGGGTTAAAAACAGGCAACTGTTATAAATGAGGCCCCCGGGTCATAACAATACGTGTGTCAAAGCTGCAGTGGGTAACTTTTATGACAATAACCTTTTTGTCATGATTTGCTGAAACTTTTATTATATCTCTGACAGTATAGCATGAGACAGATAATCTGATCAACTATGTTCAACTCTGATTGGTTGGTTTCGTTCAGGCCCAGTTGATTTTTCAAATGCCATTAGGAGCACTAGGAGCAAATATGACAAAAGTAATTTTATAAAAATCTTCCTTCTGAAGCTTTAACAGTACAAGAAAAATCAATGTGCAGAGATTGGCACATTTTAATAAAAAAAAATCTAAGAAAAATTAAATCAAATTAAATCTTTGTCTCGTTTTTGTTGCAATTTCATATGGTCTTTCTTCTGGTTTACTCTAGACTTTACTTTGTTGCTTTACACTCCACTTCCAAGTGCGAAGGAGAAACTACAGTGGCCACAAAATGTGCAAAAAACACTACTCAGTGTTTGGTTTGTCTGTTCGTTTGTCTGTTCTGGGCAACTATAGAAATACGGCACTTCAACATGGCAGACTCCACAGAAGGTGACCTGCAGTGTGATGACACTAATGAAAACATACCTATAAATAATATTTTAAACCTTATTATACCTTTAAGTCTTTCCGCAAAATATGGCCGATACACAAAATGACATTTTGCATGTTGCATGTTTTTGAGGCCCATAACAAGCAACCAGGTAGGAAGACCATCCCCTCGTACCCGAACTCAAAAATGCCCGGAAATGTACTACCCAGAGCTGAACCGGACCCGTTTATTGTTTGAAAGCTGGGACCCACGCAAGACCAAGAAATGTTGAACACGACAACCTGGCTAGGAGACAGATACCCAATCAAGTAATACAGAGCTAAGATTAATTAGTTAGCTAGCTAGCAACAGCGTGGCTTTCTGTTGGAGCGAAGTGTTTCTTGGGCTGGGCCTCACTGATTACTGTACAAAAACACAACTTTATCACTATACCAAAACACAAAGTTATCAGTGATTTGTGTGAAACTGGGTCTTATTTTATGAAGATTTTTTTTTCTGGTTTTCCCTCTGATGTCCTGCGTCCTCAACTTTGCTAACTGCTGCCGTAGCTACTGTTAGCATGCAATGGAACCGGGCTCAGCATCCTTCCAGTGAACACAACCTCTGTGACAGACTGAGGCCAGTTTGAGTTTCCAGATGGACTTGTTGTTTAAAAGTAGCTAACTAGCTTGTGGAAATATTAGACCGTTAAAACCGGTCTGGCTTTGATATTTACTGGGAGTTCCCAGTCCAGTAGAGTCAGCCAATAGGACTGCTACATCTGCTTGATGGGGGGGATGTAAAACACATTCATTCTATTGGCTACAGCAACAAGTCCCTCTGGAGCTGCCAGTTTTTACAGAAAACATAAATATTAGGAAGCAAACTGCACTCTGCTTAATGTTCATGTGGACTTATGTGGAATGTAATCCCTATTGTGTAGTTGTATATGAACGGGTTAACAATATATTTTCTTTCAAGGATTGTCATAAGGGTTACTAAAGCTGTGCATTCTTTAGCATACTGGTTATAAAGAGTGTACAGATTCTGGATCAGAATTTCCTGAACAGTGTTGATGGAGCAGAAACATGGAGAAGTGACAGAACAAACTACTTTTACTGTTTGTGCGTAAAGAAAAAGAAACAAATGACATAAATCATTAAATATCCATTCACACACAAACTAAATCACTAAGGGTCTTTAGGGTTTATTCAGTCTGCAGCCTGATACAATGAAACACACATATACACACACAAGCTTCTATTGACTGTGTTGTTTGGGAATGTTTTCAGTTATGATTAGCAGCCACTGGCAGAGAGAGGGAGGGGAGAGAGATGTTGGGTGTGTATTGGGGTAGTTGATCTTATAGTGATTACAGTTGAGGAGAGAAGGAGTGAGGGAGGGAGGGCACCTTGTGTTCATCAGAGTTTTATCGTTGCCTAAGTTTAGATCTTGGCTCAGAGACGGCTTCTCAAGTAACAAGGCTGCAGGCTCACTTCAGCCACTCCACAGAGAGACAGACACAGAGCTCCACGCAGAGCTTTAAAGGGAGACGAGCAAAGGCACAGAAAAGTGGCAAGTCACAAGAAAATAATAGAGGCAGGAGAGAATGCCAAGCGCTGCCATATGATGAGACATTTTAAGCAGAAGACACTAAGACTAGACTAGACCAAGACACTAACCCTAACGTAGAGGGAGAAAGAGCACAAGTCGGACTATTTGGCTTGAAACGTCATCAGTTTACCTCTGCTCTTTACCTACTGGAATTGGACAATGACAGAGGAAGCTGAAGTGGGAGGTGACCTCTCTCCAACCTCTGGGTCTGAGCAACAGGCGCCACATTTTCTGCAAGATGTCATCTTCCACGGCAAGTTTAAGGTGAGTTTCCCCACGAGCGAACAGCAGACAGACTGTGACCAGAGATAGACCACTGAATGAAATCTGTTCAGGTAGAAATGTCATTATTTCAAGCTAAGAGCGAACAAATTATTTGCATTTTTACACTAGTACATAATTTTGTCTTAAAGCTACAGTAGGTAACTTTTAACTTTTTGTCATATTTGCTGAAACTTTAATTATTTCCTGACAGTAGTAAGTGAGACAGATAATCTGTGAAAAATCTGGTTCCTCTGACTCCTCCTAGTGC